AAATCCTCCGAACTTAAGAAAATGCACTTCAATGTCTCCCTTTACACTCCTCGCACTCGATGGAAAAGCACAATAAAAAAAAGAAAAAACGTGAGATTCTTCTTGACTTCTTCCAACATAGGTGATTTCACACTTAAATTCTGGTTCCTTCTGACATGTTATAAACAGTGCATTTAGGCCTCAGTAGATTCCCATCCCAGGTGTCATTTTCATTGCGATTTTTTAAATACAAACTTGACTCATTTTCTTAAAACCTACCTCAARGTGACATTATCTCCAATCAGCATGAACGGAGCCCATTTCTCCACTTCAGGAAAGCCGTTATTTCTCATCCACTTTCGGACCTCGTGAAGAGACTCGCTGGCACTTTCACCACGAAACAAGAGTTCGTAGAAACGATTCATGAACTGTTCTGTCGATTCGTCGTTCAAGGCCCACCGCGCTACTAACACCGAGCGAGCACCGGATCCCAAGAACGCCCGAGCGATTCCAATGACTCCTTTGACTTTAGTCTCTCCGCGTCCACTGTGACAGCAACTTAGAACAACCAGTTTAGCTTTAAGTTGAACTTTTGACTCGTCAGCCATCGTCAAGAGGTATTCTTCTTCTTGTGGAATGTCATTAGTGGTACGAACAGGGCAAAGTGCAATTTCTCCTCTCTCAGCATATCCGTGAGCAGCAAAATGTATCAGCGCAACTGACTTCATCTGTTCAATAACCGCCTCCTTTGTTGCATGTCTCCCTAACAATGGGGGGACGCCAAGCATTTTTCCAATCATCTCAGCTTCTTTTCTTGCACCTGGTAATGGCTCCAGGAAGATTGGTTGCCCCTTGTAAATCACTTTGCTCACCTCAAGTTCACCCACTATGAGAGCCCCACTCTGACTGTGGTAGTTTGGAGGACTGTCCTTAATAAGCTTGAGAGTGGTCAGAGAAGGAGCAATACGGATCCTGAAGTTTTCAGACAAATATCGTCCTCCTTCGTCCGATGAAGGCTGCAAATGGCACTTGGTACATGCAGCTATCAGGGACAATGATAATTTCAGGCTCTTTCAATAAATCGGCCACGGGAGCGACGATTATTTCGTAGCACAAACGAAGATTATTTTTTCATATTATTGTGTGTTAAAGGCGATCGGTTGACATCATCAGATGACGCTGGAACACGTTCGTCATTTAAAGAGCGATCTTCGCAAACATCTCTAGGTAGAATGCCAAAGTGGAGGAAACTTTCCGAAAAAAACACTTTCAGGTCAGGAACTGACCCGGCATTTCCAAAACGATCTGAATCCAATCTCTTTCTTCGGAAATGAATCTCTCCGCTTGTTTTCAGAATCCAAATCCGTGCATCTTCATCATCAACCGAAAGGTAAAGACAATTACAGCTGGCTTCTCCTTTTATAATATCATGGATTCCACACCATGATCGCGGATCGCCTGAAAACTGCAACTGTTTGGCAGAATATTGAGATGTCATCAAGTCCGCTAGAGCTCTTGCCCGTCTAAGTTCTTCAACGTAAAGAGCATCTGTAAAATTTCCGCTAACAGAGAGCAATTTAATGAGCGTGTCATAGGGAAAGACGCCATGCTTCTCCAACAAAGATATTTGGAAGTAGTCGTTGCCTTTTACAAAGTTTCGCAATTTTTCAAATTTTGCAATAGATTGAAAAAGATACGAAAAAGCTTCTTCGAGATTAAACTGAGCTAACTTCAAAACTGCTAGACCGCAAACAACTTTAAACTCGGTCATACTATCTCCAATGCCTTTGCACTTTAAGAAAGCCTCGCGAAAATACAATTCGGCTTTCTCAAGTTC